AGAGCCATGAAGACAAAATCAGTGGTCATGGGGGTATCCTCCAACTGTTGTCTGTCCAACCTGGAATGGAACTTCTCACCGTCAGGAACTGTGGTGTGGCACTGGAACTCAGTCAGCCTATCTACCCTGCAGTAGTAGTTTATAATAGTTTGTTCTGGTTTAGGATTTAGCAGCATGGACAGACTTTACATGAATGTTGTATAAGTCACTTCAATTATTACACTATGGCCCTGATTTCAATAGTCTATTTACCTATACAGTATAATAACCAAATAAAACATCTGTTACATGAATGCCCAAAAGAGAAAGTATGGCTCTGAAATTTCCTGATATGGAAAAGGATTTTCTGTGAACAAACTAAAACCTCCTGTAATACAGTGGGGCAAAAAAGTATTTAGTCAGCCACCAATTGTGCAAGTTCTCCCACTTAAAAAGATGAGAGAGGCCTGTAATTGGCATCATAGGTAGACCTCAACTATGAGAGACAAAATGAGAAAAAAAATCCAGACAATCACATTGGCTGATTTGGAAAGAATTTATTTGCAAATTATACTTTTTTGCCCCACTGTACCTAGGTAAGATTAACATAATTCAGAAAATTGATAAGGTTTTCCTTGAAAAATTTCTTTTATCCTTTCACAGTTGTGAGGCAGTTCTCCTCTGAGAGATAACTGGTTGGATTGTCCCTCTCTAAAAAAACTATTATAGAGAGAAAGAGAATAATACTTGACAAATAATCTCACCATGCTATATTACTTGATTTTTATTTTTATTTTTTTATTACATTTTCCACATTAAATAGTTCCCTCTACTCCTATGCGAATGTATATCACATATTTTCACCATTGCCTTGTGTGCTAGTGTGTCTGATTGACTAACCATAGATCTGCCCATTTCCCAGATAATACATAATGGTCAAAAGACAGTTGCTCATATCGTACAAGACAAACTCAGTTTATTTTATCTAATATGGTAACCCTTTAATAAAGTACTGTATGTTTATCTTTTACTGGATATATGGTAATACTTTATTATCATGGTATTATGTTTATAATTATCTTACATCATCCTTGATGCCTGTAGAATGCTTGTGTTCTTTTCTTCCACTTTTAGTTTGTCTAAATATAATTGCAGCGGACTACCCTAGTTAGGCGGAATTTTGTTGTTGGGCTCTGCTATACTCGTGGATTAGTGATCTGTTTTCTAGGTCTAGTCAGGTCTCCCTAAGCTTAGTGGCTGATTACTCCTGCCTATCTCCAGAAGAAGCTTCCAGAGAATAGAGTAGGAGGGTCGTAGTAGGAAGTTATGAATATTTACCTATTCTCAGCCAGTCCCTGGGAGGGCCACCCAGCAGAAGGTGGCTGAGGAAAAAGATAAATGTTTAAGAGGCTTGCTCAGAGTGTTCTAGTGCTAGGGCAGCTGCCCCTGGGATGCAACCTGTGTACCAGAGAACTAATGTTGTGCCTTAACCTGTGCTTGACTGAGGGTCTGATGGAATCTGGATTGTATATTTGCCAAAGGGCCTGTGAAGGCCGATGTAAGAAGGAATCCTGTAGTCATGGAAGAATGTTGTAAGAAAGCTGATAGGCGACAGCTGTCCTTAGATATTGTGAGTAAGACCCTTGCTAAAGACTTCTGGTGTGCATGTGTTTGGGGAAGTAAGTGCCCGTGGTGACTGCAAGGACTCGGACTGTTTGTATAGAGCCCCAGATTAGCTGGCCATTCCCTCTTACCACCAGTAAAGGCTATTGCAAAAAGATTCTGCTTAGCTTTGTCCTCCTGTTGTTGTTCTCCAGTCACCATGCCTGCATAATTTATGTTGAAAAGGCCACATGCAGTCTCAACTGTAATCCCTTGTGACAGGGTGACGACGCAGGGCCACAACTGTGTCTGCCTATATTATAAATGGTCTGCCTTAATGCAATGCAGGTAAACGCATAACATAACACTTGTTATGCAAAACACCAGAAAGTACATGTGTGAAGCCAGACTTTATCTTTAGATAACAGTGGGGCAAAACCATTAAAGTTTTCTTTCTTTCCCAACAGGTAGATGAGGACTGTCTCTTCCTGTTCTAGGCTGTGGTAGAGGAATCCAGAGAAGGGAATTACTGGTAAGAATCGAAATAGATTTTTGTATTTTATTTAAAGCTGTAAGATGAAAAACATTTACCCTTGCAGTGGGGCACCCTTTCTGCTGCCAGGGATAACTGCTCAATTTGCCTAGGAGATGATGTAATGGCCATGTGTACTTGGCACCCAAATAGCTATGTGTGTAGCAGCCATTTTGTTCACGTCACATGTCTCCCATGCCGTTTTGTCATAAGAAGGCATAGCCACATGGCCTTTCCCCATTCTTTCCATCAGTTTATACAATACACATCTGTTAGCTGATGCCAGACACCCCTTACCCATCTGTTAATAGGGCTGGCAGAATCTAATCCCAATACACATCTACGAGCCCATAAAAATGTCTGACTTAGCCTCTTCAGTGACTACATAGTGAACAGACATTGGGTCATAAATAACTTAGTTGGACGTTTTTAGTATACATGTATCTGTCTCTCGGTAGAAGCCATCATCATCCCACTATATTTTGTAACTTCTGAAAAATGACAGTATAGCAGAATAAAGTCATATTCGCCTTCATCAGTTCTTGGATAGCATTTTGAACCTAAACACCCTATGCTAGGAGGTACCAGAGTAGATTAGGCCTCCCCCGCCCCTCCCTATGAGAAATGGATATCTAAGACCTGTCATATCTATATACATTTCAAAGCTAATATCATGCTGGACAATAATATGCAGGGTAGCCGACTGTACCCTACAGATATTCAGAGATAATAATACTTCTAGAAAACTGTATCTGGGCACTTGGTCATAAAAGCGGTGACATCCCAGCAACCACCCCTTAGACTGGATGATTGGTCAGATGACCTCTGTCAACACCCCCCCTCGATGTGAAGAAAAGTGGAATGCCACCACACTTTGACAGCTATTTTAACAGGACTTGAGAGAGCCACTGTACCATTTTTGCTTAATCACTGGACTCTGCTGAAAAAGGACTTGCAAGTTTTCTTCACTTTTCAAGTCTTTTCTATTTTTCTGTTGCATTGTTGCCTCTTTGTTACTTCGTAATATGTTGGGGGGGTTTTTTTTGTAAATATTTTTATTTGCACCATTTTGACCTTTCCATTATTAAACCCTATTTTGAAAAGTGTATCTAAGGCTCTGATGCAAACTAAGTGATTTCCTGTCTCTTGAAGAGCGCTACTGTGTATTATAAATCTATGAATATACCTTTCTGTGGTGACAGTGTGTGTACAGACATTTATTTTAAAATCAAAATTGTATTGCTAATCTTGTGAAATTTTATGACTTTTCAGTAAAAGTTGGTGGTGGCAGTTTAAAGAGTTAATTGCTTAGCTAATTTAACCCAGTGACAATCGCTCTCAAGCAGCTGGCACCTACAGTAGATTGTGGTCCCACGAGCTGGAAAATCTTTGAACAGGGTGAGACTGAGAGTGGCATTGTTGTTTATACGTGACAGTGTGATGTGAGGTAGACCAGTCTTTTGTCACAAGTTGATGAAGAGGGCGGCGGTTGGATACCCGCATTTGTCAGAGATGAGTAAGCTGATATACTTACAAAATTCTTTGCTTCCCTGGCAGCCATTACTCTTCTTTGCTATCCAAACTCCAGTGGGTTGGCCCTCATCATCCTCTTTACAGTACAGGACTACAGGTTCTGCATTGTATGGGATGACATTAGAGTGCTACAACTGGTGAAGGGACAAAGGAAAGTTTATCACTTTATTGATCATCTCCTATGCAAAATGAGCACTTGGAGCAGTATTATAATCAAAACCAAAATGCATTATATTGCAGCTTACCAATCATTAGATGTGGCTGCTACTTCAGTTTTCTTTTCTTAGGCTTTTTTCCCTCTGTTTTCACCTGGTGATCTGGTCAGTAACACACCTCCTGTATTACAGTGCCCCACTTTGGATGAAGGAGCACAGAGGCACCTTTGGACAACTGCATTGTCAGTTTGGTGGGGAGACTCTTCCTGAAGAAGAAGGCTTTTGACCTGTGAAACGTGTTGAACAAGCAAGATACAACACTGTATGGATATATTGACAATATGTGCAACAACCAGGGTTTTCACTTTTCTATGATGCAATAAAATGTGTTTTTTTTTTTTTTTTTTACAAATGGTGTGGTACCTTAAAAGTTCTGGTTAGTTAATATCTTTACTTGTTGTGGTTTATATAAAGTGGAGGACATGGTACTTGTAGAACCTTCGATTACATAGGGGAGGCGATTGGCCCTCATCCCCCCCCCCATCTATTTATCTTTGTTTTATCTAAATAAATAAAAGTTGATCGCTGTAAGCACCCTATCGGTATTAAATGGTTTTTTTCTCATCTCTGGAGAGATTGTTCTTTTGAAAAATGACAGACTTACTGGCAGTATCACCAGAGAATAGAAGAAAGAAAGCCTAAAAAAGAAAATGAATGCAGCCATCACATATAAGAATTGGTAAGCTGCAATATGTTTTCCTTTGGGTTTAATACCACTTTAGGCTAGGTTCACATTTGTGCAGGAGACGCATCCACCCACACAGAAAAATGGCACGCTGCCCCACTGGAAATCACAACCATACTAGGAACCTCTGTTCCCGTGCGAGCTGCCAATTCAAAAATAGTGCAGGGACTTCTTTCCTGCATGTCCTAGGGCACGGCAGCCCATTCAAATGAATGGGCTCTTGTGTCTGTGCAAATCATGGCCCGCATGACCATACAGGTGTGAACCTAGTCTTAACCCTTGCAGTGGGGAGGGGGACCCCCTGCAAGGTTAAATGATTTTCATCCCCAAGTTCAGCTTTAAATATACTGTATTTGTAAGATTGTTCATACTAATGTATTGCATTTTGTCTTCTAGATGTAACATCACATGATTTTACCACATTCAGTATCTATAAATCAAGGGAAGTACCACAATGCAGAGAGGACAACGCAGAGCAAATGCTGGGCTTCTATTGTTGTTTGCCCAGTTGTATCAGTTTGGTTTTAATAACATCCCTCCTGTGACTTTAGTCCTGCTTGGACTTAATATTTATCTATTTTTAAACCCCATGAAACCACTGCTTTATGTTTGTATCAGTGTACATGAAGGCTATGATCACAGAGACTGGGAACGTTTACTTTTCTCACCTTTCCACCATGCTGATGACTGGCATCTATATTTTAATATGGTGTCACTCTTATGGAAGGGAACAAAACTGGAGCGGAGGCTGGGAAGTGTGTCATTTGCTGTCATAATTGCAACCTTCTCACAACTGATTGGCGTGGTTTATGTTCTGATTCAGTTACTCCTGGCTGAAAGTATGGATGACCCATCCTATAAGATGCAGTGTGCTGTGGGATTCTCTGGTATAAAATCTATTCATCTATCTATCTATAGTATCAAATATCAATACCCTCCATCTATAAACCAATTATATATATATATATATATATATATATAGCTCAGCATAAATGAGTTCACCCATTTTAAAAAGTAAGATTTTAATCAATCTCTCAATGAACACAGGAACCATTTCCAAAATTTTAACAAAACTGAGTTTTATAGAACATTTTGTTTAGCTCATTACATGAAAGTAAAGTTAATAATATAATTTAGTTTACAAAATCTTCAGTTTTACTCAAATTAGTTGATACAAAAATGAATACACCCCACAACAAAAACTGCTATGTCTAGTATTTTGTATGACCTCCATGATTTGTAAGGACAGCACCAAGTCTTCTAGGTATGGAATGAACAAGTTGGTGACATATTGCAACATCTATCTTTTCCATTCTTCACGAACGACCTCTTTTTTATACCTGGATGCTGAATGGAGAGTGATGTTCAACTTGTCTCTTCAGAATTCCCCATAGGTGTTCGATTGGGTTCAGATCAGGAGACATACTTGGCCACTGAATCACTTTCACCCTGTTCTTCTTCAGAAATGCAACAGTGGCCTTAGATGTGCGTTTTGGATCATTGTCATTCTGGAAAACTGCACGACGACCAAGGGCATGGAGTGATGGTAGCATCTTCTCTTTCAATGTAGAGCACTACATCTTGTGATTTCATGATACCATCAATGAAATGCAGCTCCCTGATACCAGCAGTACTCATGCAGCCACACAGAAGGACACTGCTAGCACCATGCATTTTTCCTCGCCTTTGCGATACTATACAGTTTTAAAGCCATCAGTTCCAAAAACATTTATCTTGGTGTCCTCACTCCAGAGTACACAGTCCCAGTAGTATTCTTCTTTTTCAGCATGGACCTTGGCAAAATCTAGGTGGGCTTTTTTGTGCATGGGATTTAGCAGCGGCTTCCTTCGTGGACGACACCCATGCATGCCATCACACCAGTTTGGCTTTTTCTAGTTCTTTAGCTAACTGCAGCGTATTTGCATGGTGATTTTTTTCTTCAACCCTTCTCATCAAGATGCTCCTGTCGAGGTGTTAACTTCCATGGACAGCCTGGAAGTCTCTGTGAGATGGTTGCAGTTTCATCTTCAATGTTTGTATCACTTTTGCTACAATATTCTGACTGATTAGTAAAGGTTTGCTGATCTTGTAGCCTTAACCTTTCTTATGTAAAGAAATGATTTTTCTTTCTCAGGCCTTATGACATTTCTCTTCCATGTGGTGCCATTGCTTACAGCATGAAATGGGAAAGGTTTTCTTTAAGCAACACCCTTTTATAGTCAACTGTCTGCTGGACACCTGTTTAATGAATAATTAGACTCAGCTGTAGTTGAATTCTTGTTAATTAGGATTTTGTTGTTTAAAATTTAGCTTTGCTCCTAAGGCTGGCCATACATTATACAATTATCTGCAGATTTTTGGTTTAGATTTACCAAAAACCATATAATAGGAGGACAAACCTAAACAACACTTTCAGTTGTGTCCAATTAGGCAGGCCCTTGCACTACATAGTTGAAGGTAAATCTAAAGGAAATTGGGCAGAAAATCTGCAGATAATTGTATAATGTATGGCCAGCCTAAGACTTTCATTGGGATGTATTCATTTTTGCAACATGATCTTGAATACGTTTTGTTAGGAAAAATACATTTTTGTGTGTGCAAATTAACAAATCTTGTTTGCAATCAATGGCCCGCACTTGTTGGAAGTATTTTGTAGTATAGTGTCCCATAGAAAATATTGATTCTGAAAGGAAAGTAAAGCTTTTCTGACAAATTTGTTGGGGTGTACTCATTTATGCTGAGCATTGTGTATGTATGGTGTGTGTATAAAAAATCTGATATAAAATATAGCATATGATTATAATGATTGTGTTTTTTTTATATGTTCCAGAAGAGCCCCTTTCAAATATTTCTGGCGCTGTCCTTAGCACAGTAGAAGACAGGTTGTGGTTTTTGCAGGAGCTCAAAAGCTCAAACTTAAATTTGTACATATGACTGAATTTGTCAAAATAGTGAATATAAATTTTTTTTTACTTTTGAGCCAATAAGGTGTATAAACGGCTTCTATCAATTTTCCACAGACTTTTATTTTTTATATTTAATTTTTTTTTTTTTTTTTATTATCGCCAATTTGGATATATATTTTTTCAATTCATTTATTCAATATTATCAACACATGTTTGGGTATTGATTGGCTTTACAATCATGTATGGTTACACATAAGAGATCATGCAGCTATTAGAAATTTAATGCAAATACAGTTTTTATACTATATACAGGTAATAGGTCTTGATAGAGCGTGGCATCTATATTTTCTTCATTTGTCAAAATAGTGACTTCACCCCCTCCATATTTGTTGTGTTTTTATTTATTTATTTTTTTGGTTTTTGGTTTTTTACCATCATTGACTGACAGAATGACTAAAAGGAAATAAGAAAAATGTGTTTGAATGTGTTTTCAAAACCCATAGACATTAGCTTGTGGAAAAGATCACAGTTGCACATGGATGTATACAAATGCATACTTGTAATATTGTCATGCACCTTATCTAAACAACAAGAAGCAAAAGAGCTCTTCTAAAAGGTACACCTATACAGAGCTACAGGTGTCCACTCAGACTTCTGCAGCTGTGTCAGATGGATTCTGCTGTGGGTGCAGGCAAGTTAATATTGCTGGCAGACATGTCCGTGCACATTTTACACAGCATGTCACTTTTGACGGTGGTACTGCCCCCAAAAGCTCCTCCATGTCAAGGGGACCACACCACAACTGCATGCAGTACATTAAGGATTTCTCCCCCTCAAAACAAATGTCCAGAAGGCAGCATATCACCTCCGAGCTTTCTGTCAATCAGCTCTGAAAAGCTATCCTTTTCAGATTGTATTCAGAGCTGTCAAAAAATGTGAACAAGGCCTTAGGGGTTCGGTAGTCATATAAAAGTACATGAGCTTTTATATTTACTGGTTATAGATCTATCATTTCTTGTAATACATGTAGGTAGTGCTTGATATTGATAGACATTCATTAATGCAAGCACGAACAAGTGACTTATGCCAGGTGCACATGGGCCGAATATCGGCCAGTACAGCAGAAACCGGCTGGCTTTCAGCTCACATGTACAGTTTCCTGTCCGACACAAGCCTGTCTCACTCCTGGCTTCTGTTGAACGGGCATGCTGGAAAACCAGCAGCCAATCAGCACTGGCAGCCATTGGCTGCCAGCACTGACCTGTGTGTCCTGTTGGGGGGGGGGGGCACAGGGTGGGTAGTCCCCCTGTTAGAACACAACAGTACAGTGGGGGAGACCGATGTGCACCAGGCTTAAAGTGTTACTAAACCCACAACAGCAAAATCAGCCTGTATATGCAGTAAAGCATGCTTGTTATACTCGCTGTGCAACCTAAGGGGTTAATCCTCTGCATTGTGTAAAAAAGGATGTTTGATCCTATCTTCTCTGATTCTTCCCTTCTTCTACTCTCCCCAATCCATCTGCTGATAGAACAGAGCCTTGGGGGCAAACTGCACATGCTCAGTATGATGTGTGTATAGCTAGTGCATTTTTGTTTGTTTTTTTTTTTCCCTGGGAAGTGCATGTGATCAGCATAGGGCAAATTGGTGCTGTACAGAGGGTCAAGGGTTATGCTGCCTCATAGGACAAACAAGGGAGAATGAAGACTCTTCCTACAAGCTTTTAACCAGTGCTTTGCTGGACACTGATAGAAGTAACAAGACTGCTCTAATGGCTGATGCGAAAAGGTATTTAGCCATTTATATTGCATTTCTATGCTCTGTGTACTGTGGGAGACCAGATCTAGTGACAGGGTCTTGGGTTTAGTGACACTTTAAGGGAGTATGACAGACACTGGTGACAATTGTTTCCTCTTTAATTGTAATGCTTCTGACTTATAACTCAGTAATTTTATTCCTGTTTACCTGTGTGCTGGAAGTAATTACCTCTTTTTTTTAATGGTTTATATCTAGGGGTACTTTTTGCTTTAAAAGTTCTGAATAATCATTATCACCCTGGAGGCTCAACCAGCGTATTTGGATTACAAGTTCCTAACAAGTATGCTTGCTGGGCCGAGCTAGTAGCAATTCATATACTTTCTCCAGGGTAAGTAACTTAATGTTATATCATCTTTATTTGTCTTGCTATATAATTTTCCTAAATGCGTGTTTTGCATCTTACCCATAGAGTAACATTTTCATCATTAAAGGCTAATCCATACCAAATTTGTTTAAAGAAAGTAGAAAGATAGAGACATTATTATTATTATTTATTATTATTATTGGCTGGAAAATATAATAGCTTGTGTCAGCTTGGCCTAATATAAGCAGTTGCTGCTGACATAATGTCAAAAGCAGAAAATGTAACCCTTATGCTGCTAGGACTATTTATTTTTTTCACATGCATGCTAAAATGCAAACTTTTTTTTACATAAGAGGCCGCAAAAACCCTAAAATATTGTGTATTTTGTGAAAGCAGAGGACTCCTGTTTATAAAATCTGTATTTTCAGTAAAAAAATACAGTGACATTAATTATGGCTTATACAAACACTATAAAATCTGCAAATATTCTGTAAATTTAAAAAGATGAGACCAAGTTAAGTAAATAAATTCAAAATATGTCAAGTCTCAAAACCTGTGCGTCAGCAACAAACTACAACTTTAAAAAAACTACGACATTTAAAAGCCTTCACAATTTAGAGTGAAACATAAATAAAGGAGTATTTAGAAATATGGACAACGCCACTGGGGACAGTAATAATAAAAATATAGGAAGTGTGGAAGAGCAGCTAATCTTACCCTTGAAACAAGGTACATATAAACCAACTAGACATAGAAGACAGCGCTCCTCACAGAATATATGTCTCCGAATACACAAATAAAAAGTGCAATAAAGTATATAAATAACTTCGTAAACGTTCAAAAATTATTGTGAATACAATAAACGTATTGTGAATATTTATACAGTTATATATTCACAATAATTTTTTGCACTTTTACAAAGTTATTTATATACTTTATTGCACTTTATTTGTGTATTCGGAGACATATATTCTGTGAGGAGTGCTGTCTTCTATGTCTAGTTGGTTTATAAATAAAGGTGTGCACACTGATACTCAAAATGTGTTGCTCAATTGTAATTTATGTACAACTGTGCGCTATTTGTGCATGTTTATGTTCAATGGGAGAGTTTTATTTTATAATATATTTTTTATTTTGTGCTTATTTTTATTTTTTTTACATTTTACCATAAGAAAAGATATGACAACCTGCTTATGTGATAGCACTTTTTTGAGTGACAAGCACCTTTTTGGGAGACTTTGGGGGTACTGATGGATCCGAACCCAGAAGTGCTCAACTCTAAGCACTTCCTGGCACACACAACGGAATGAGGAACAGATGTTCCGCCATTTCTTCCCGCTTGCCATCTTGATCTTTTTCCGGTCCTGGGCTCCCAGGAGAAGCAGGAGATGCATGAGGGGTGATGGGGGCCACATGAAAGAACACAGCAGACAAATCAATTTGACAATATAACCCTGCAGTATGCTCTTATAAAGTAAAAAACATACAACTGCTATTGTGGCCATGAGTTTTTTGTTTTGTTTTTGTTTTTTGTTTTTTTACATGCCACCGACATGGTAGTTTTGTTGTAGCAGTAAAGGCTTAAGAACTCCAGGCAAACATTTTGTGTTAAAAAAAAAAGCGCCTGAAAAGCTCAAGAAAAATGCTTCCCTATGTATGTGAATGTTTATCTATGTATGTTTTCACAGTGAAGCGTTGCGCTTATGGTGCAGTGTAAAAACTCCTGCTTGCAGCATCTTTGGGGCATATTTGGTGAGTTAAAAAAAATGCCCCAAAAATGCCTCTTCCCATTGAAATCAATGGAAAACGGCTTAAGAGCGCCTCAACAACGCCTCTGAAAAGTGTTTTTGGTGTAGTTTTTAAGTCACGTGTACTTTAAAAACCGCTCAGTGCAGTAAAAATGCCTATGCGTTTTTTCGGGGGATCAGTGTGAAAGTATCCTTAGTATTGATCTTCAGCTCCCAAGCAACTATATTGAAAATGTAATAGGTGCACTCACTTGACAGTAAAGTCCCATTAAGATACATCTCTGGTGTGGCTGTTTGGTCAGGATGTACAGAGATGGGCAGCAGTACATTTTAAAATAGAAAACAAGTATAGATCCCCAAAATAAAAAAAGGGGAGAAACCAGGGGGGAGGACCCTCTGGAGCAGAAGTCCTAATGAGAACAAACAGGGGTTATTTTTCTAGCCGCTGTTTATTCTCATTAGGACTTCTGCTCCAGAGGGTCCTCCCCCCTCCCCCGGTTTCCCCCCTTTTTTATTGCGTACTTTCTTGTCCTTCGGACACCACCGTGGGATTTGGGAAGTCTGAGAATTACTCATAATATTTGAGGTTTTACTTTTCTGGGGGGAATATATCCTAGTGGGGCATCCCAATTTTCTTTTATGTTATTTTTCTGTAGATCCCCAAAATGATAGTAGATGTTCTACCCTAGACCAGATTTCATATAGATCTTTCTCTAAGCCTCTCTTGGTCACTTGCAAAATCACAAATTGTGCTGGCTGGACCCCTACAGAGCTCTCTGAGGCAGGACAACATTGAAAGGTTCCTGTGTATAACTTCTCAACCAGCTAATCTCCTCATGTCCATATGTGGGGGACAGCTGCAGCTTGCTTCCTCTAAGACAGAGGTCCGCAACCTTATGATCATGATCTACACATCAATCGTGGGCAGGTGACAGGTAGGTCTGGTCCTTGGTTGCCGACCCCAGAACCTGGAGAGGAGGGGTGACATTTAGTGGAACCAATGGGCTGTATTTTCCTCCCTGCAGCAACTGAATGCCGGCAATGCCCACTTCTCCTCCTCACCCTGCCACCGGCATTCAGCTGCACTAGAGAAGAAACTACAGCTTATCGGTTCCACTAAATCTCTCCAGGTTCCTCATCTTTGTGTTGCCTGATCTCCACGTGCTCTTTGTCCTCGGGCCTGTTTACACCCCTAATATTTCACCAAAGCCCCCCAATGGGATTCCTAAAAAAAAAAATGTATAAGTATTAAAAAAAAATTAATGAAAAATAAAATAAATAATTAAAATAAAACAAACGATTGACACCATCCACACTGCTGTACTGACACTATGTACTGCCCTACTGACATCATCCACTGCCCTTCTGAAACTTTCCACTGTCCTAATGACACAGCCCACTACTCTACTCTACTGACTGACACCGTCCACTGTCCGTACGCCATCTTCTGCCCTAATGACACTGTCCACTGACACCTTCCAATGCCCTGCTGACACTATTCACACACCATCCACTGCCCTACTGACAATGTCCACTTAGAAGGCAGGATAATTTTATATTTTTAAAGTGACATTTGTTTTATTATATTTTCCTAAAATATCCTTACTTTTTAGTTAAGCCTTCAAACCCCAGTGATCTTTGATCTTTCATGTTGTTCAGGTATTTCTCCAACTCTCAAAGGTTGCCTGCCCCTGCTCTAGGCCTTACATTTTCTTTCCAGCAGCCAGCACCTTCAGTGGTTCCTCCCAGGAACTCCTAGCAGAGACTGAACTCCTAAGGTGACATCCTCACAGGGAAGAGACCAAACAAGAAGGGTCACAGATATGTGATATATATGTTACATCCCTACAAATTTATTATCAGTCATTTTACACATCAAATGATTTGTATTTCTGTTCATCCAGTTCTGAGATTGACACAGCTCTAGCACTAAGGATAGTTCTGCTTGGCAGCGAAGGGGACCAGATTCTCTGCTGTATTTTTTCACTTTCAGGTCTACTTCCGACCCCCACCCTGTGACTGGACAGTGGAAGGAGAAGCAGCACACTGAAGAGCTCATATCCCTGTCACTTTGCTCTCTCCACCTATCAGCATGCTCTTTGACCTGTAGCATAACTGATTGGTTCCTTGTGCTGCTTCTCCCTATCAGAGTCTGAGCTCTGCTGTAGGGTAGGCTTCAAGGAGCTGGTACCACCAAGTCAAATTGAGTTTCCAACTGCTTGCATTCAAATAAATAAATTAAATTATGTATTCATGATTAAAGCTGCATAGATTTATGCCTTTTGTATCTGGTAATATGGAAATGATATAGTGTAGCTCTAAAATGTTGTTGTCCTATAGTGCTTGTTCTGGTTCTTGTAACAAAAGCATATAACCCTGTAAGGTAAAGCGGGTGTTGTTCTTTAGCGGTTCTTGCTTGTTTTTCACAAATGTCTCTTGTTTTGTTGAACAAAGCAAAGGGAATTCTTTCTGCAGCTTGTGTTACGATAGTAGTATCTGCTGTAAGGTTCTCTAAACCATGTTGTTTGTAATTGCACAGACTGTTAGGTGTGGGAAATGAGTTACTTTATCTTACCTAAGGCTATTCATTTGTGAGAGCCCGGCTGATGAAAGAAACTTGACATCTACACAGAAAAAAAAATTGGAGATGGTAAGATAAATGTTTTGAACGTGCATAATAAACCGAACTCGAGGCAAACTGCTAAATATACAGTTGAATTACATATGTGTGAAGTGTTTTACCTGACATAACATTTGTAATTATGTTCAGCCAATGAGCACAGCCAGGAAGATCACACCACTTCAGCGTTGGAACTTCCTGTGCTAACAGCCCCCTCATTGGACAGTGTTTAAAACTGAACTCTTTCTAAAAAATGCCAAATTGCTATAAGTCCAGTGAGGTTCATTCCACCTTGTGGACTTATTTTAATTTACATTTTTAGTGTGCACCCAGAGTACAATACTTTTGGGTTCCAACTTTTGGGTTCCAACGTTGTACCTTCTAGTCTTAGCTCCTGCAGCTGCAGAGTCGCAAAACCCTCTCTGAATGGACAGCAGATGAGGGGGGTGGGTAGAGCAGCTGCTGTGTGAGAAAGCAGAGTCTTTCCTATCAGAGCAGCATAGTGATAGCTGTACTCTTGACACTCGGGGAAACTGTCAATTGTATATTAAAGAGATAAGGCCATGAGGTGCCATGCACCTTGTTGGACATAACCTTAGTTGACTTCTATGTGTATGTGGGTGCACATGTAGGGCAGCTGATAGACATGTGTGATTCGATTAGTTGCTATTCATTTATTGGATGAAAATTTTCATTTTTGGAGATTTGGATGTATCCAAATCTCCAAATGGACATAGAAACGAATGGCAAGGAATCAAAAAAAATTAGAACAAAAATAATGTATGCATTTGTTTCATTTGGATGAATTCAAGCAT